ATAGAACAAATCCTTTTAATAAAAGGTTACTAACCTTCTCTTAAACAAGACATAGACCATTTCCATCACCCCAAAAAGTTTCCTCGTGCCCCTTTGCAGGGTCCCTGCCCCCATCTGGCAGCCACTGATTACTTTCTGTCTCTACAGATTAGTTTTGCCTATTTTAGAATTTCATATAAATGGAATCAGGTATATACTCTTTGTCTACGTTCAGCATGTTTTGAGATTCATCCATGTTGTTGCTGAGAGAATACTTTCTGAGTCAGTATGTGATGCTATCACTGGAAATTCTAACCTAAGCATAATTACCTTTTAGTATAACATTAAAAGAAATTGTTCCCCCCCCCCCATTTCTCCCATAGATATATATTAATGATCTTCATAACAACCAGTCATTGTATTGCTTTAAATCATGGCTCCTCAAACTTTTTAAACAGGGGGCCAGTTCACTGTCCCTCAGACTGTTGGAGGGCCGGACTGCGGGCCCTGGGACGAGTTGGCTGCTAAGCAGGACAGGCAGTGGCGGCAAAAACACCCGGCGGGCCAGGTAAATGTCCTCAGCGGGCCACAGTTTGAGGACACTTGCTTTAAATATTTTGTGAAAAATCTCAAATGTGTCTCTGTGTAGACGGGATAGTATTGTAAACTCCCATGTACTCAACATTTAGCTTTAACAATAATGAATTTGGTAGCCACTCTTGTGTCATGCCAAACTCTAACCACTAACCCCTCTCAGATTGTTTTCATACAAATCTCAACTCTGTTGTATTATCCATTACCATTTCAGTTTTTTTAAGACAGAGTCTCACTTTGTTGCCTTCGGTATAGTGCTGTGGCGTCATAGCTCGTAGCAACCTCAAACTCTGGGGCTCAAGTGATCCTCTTGCCTCAGCCTCCCAAGTAGCTGGAACTACGGGTACCTGCCATAATGCTTGGCTTTTTTTTTTTTTTTTGGATATTTGTGGCTGGGGCTGGGTTTGAACCCGCCACCTCCGACATTTGGGGCCAGCACCCTACTCTTTGAGCCACAGGAGCTGCCCCCAGTCTTAAAAAAACAGCCAAAAAAAGCACAATACCAAAGGAAATAAAGTAGAACACTCAAAAAAGGACTAAGAGTAAATAATTCCGAAATACATATGACTGCCTAACAAAAAAAGATCTAACAAACCTCCTTATCATGCTTGGCTATTTTTTAGAGATGGGGTCTTGCTTTTGCTCATGCTTGAACCCATGAGCTAAGGAAATCCACCCACCTTGGCCTCCTAGAGTGTAGGATTACCGGCCTGAGCCACCACATCGGGCCTCAATTATCAAATCTTAAAAAAAAACTTGAGTGGCTTGGCACCTGTAGCACAGTGGTTACAGCGTGGGCCACACGCACCGAGGCTGGAGGATTTGAACCTGGCCCGGGCCAGCTAAACAATGACAGCTGCAACAACAACAACAAAATAGGCGGGCATTGTGGCGGGCGTCTGTAGTCCCAGCTTTTGGGAGGCTGAGGCAAGAGAATTGCTTATGCCCAAGAGTTTGAGGTAGCTATGATGTCACTGCACTCTACTGAGGGTGACATAGTGAGACTCTATCTCAAGAAAAAAAAAAGAAAAGAAAAAAATCTGCCTTGCTATTTAGTGATTTTTAACAGCCTTGTTTACTTGGAATATTTGAGATGGAGAGTAATAATTACCAACTCTGTGTTAAATTTCTTTGTCTCCTTGTTTACTGATTTTTGTCAGGGGACTACTTACGAGTATCCAAAACTAGCTTGACTGAGGTCATTTCAGGGTAATGTGTTTTCTCCAAAAACTGCTTTTTGGTTCAAAACAAGTTGACAGCGTCTCATTGTTTGAGCAAGTAAGAACTGAAGAGTCAACACTTTTCTCAGACAAAATTTAAACTACTTTCTTCCTGCAGGGGAAATATGTGTATTATGTACTATATATGGTACTTAGTAGGTGATTTTAGAGTCAGTAATTTACTGGATGTGGAAGTAAGAGAAAATGGAGTGAAGGATGGTCCTTAGGCTGGGGGAACTGAGTAGATAGACATGGTACCCTTCACTGAGATGGGAGACTTAGGCTCAACAAGCCTGGAGTGGTGGGTACTGAGCTCAGTTCCAGAGATATTGAGATTGGAGGTGCCTGTGGACATCCCCTAAGGAGGTGTAGTTGGTATCGTATGTCTAGAGCTCAGAACAGAGTGGAGGGGGTCTAGGTTGGAGATAGAGACAGAGAAGTGTTTATCGCCCTTTGGTGTGAATGAAATCAGCTAGCCTAAGTGAGACCATCATGGCACTTAATGACCTGATAGGATAGATGACTCAGGCACAGCCTGACAGAAGTAAAACCAGGAGAGTGTGACATCCTGAAAACCACAGAGAAGTGTTTTTAGAAGGGAGGGGGGTCACATGCATGATTCCCTTTACATGCTATGTCCAGAATACAAATTTATAGAGAGAGATTAGTGGAGGCTGGGCATAGATGTGGACTAACTGTAAATAAGCATGAGGGGGTCTTACTGGGAGAATGAAAACATTCTAAAACTGATCTATAAGGGCCAGGCTCGGTGGCTCCCCTGTAATCCTAGCATTCTGGGAGGCTGAGGCGGGAGGATCACTTGAGCTTAGGAGTTCAATACCAGCCTGAGCAAGAAAAAATAAGACCCTGCCTCTACTATAAATAGAAAAATTAGCCCAGCATTGTGGCGGGTGCTTGTAGTCCCAGCTACTGGGGAGGCTGAGGCAAGAGAATCACTTGAGCCCAAGAGGTTGAGGATGCTGTGAGCTTTGATGCCATGGCACTCTACTAGAGGGCAACAAACTGAGATTCTTGTCTTAGAACTGATTTATAGTGTTGGTTGCACCATTCAGTTGCTGAAAATCATTGTACACTTGAAATGATGGAAGTAGTCGTCAACAGTGGCTAGTGACACAAAGAGCTTAAGTAAGGTGCAAAATGATGAGCCTGATGATTGGTCACTTGGTCACTGGTGATGGTGGTCAGAGTGAAGGAAGAATTTGGGGCAGATGGAACAGAAGCTCACTATGTGGGTGGGGAAAAGCTGGGTGGTGGGGCTGACTCACTGCAGGAGCTCCCTTGGGAAATGAAGAAGAGGTGGTGGCCAGAGAGGGCTCAGGATTGTGAGGTTTCTTTTTGTATTCTTTAATGTGGCAGAGGTCTGAGGTAATTTAACAGCTTTTGGCAGGGAGGGCAGGACTTGCTGACCAGGGACAGGTAAGGGAGAGGAGCCAAGTCAGCACTCAGAGTTATCTGTCTTGAATAACACACAGAAGATGTCCACCTTTTCCCACAGCTGGACTCAGGCATCATAAAAGGGCCTGATGGGGTATTTTTCAGACCCTGTCCATCTGGCCTGCTCTTGGACTTGGATGGAACTGAGACCTACTGGATCAGCAAGGGGGTAGATTTACTTCTGACTCTTAAGCTCAAGCATCCTACAATACCCTTTACATTTGGCCCCACCTACCTGTCCAGCTTCTCTCTTCTCCAGTGGCCAGATCAGCTTTCCCTTCTCTGGCTTTGCTTTCCTGTGGCTGCCTGGGAGGGCCTTCACAATTGTCTTGACCATCATCTAGTTGTTCTGTACTTGCCCTAAGAGACTTTGCCCATCAGCAAGGTCATCTGCCTCCAGAGCTTGCTGTCCCTGCTTTCTAGCTGTAGATCAAGATTTATCCCCTAGTTGTGAAAGGTCCTGCCCGAGTTCCAGATCTGAGGTCAACTTATCCACCTACGCACTAGAAGAACCTGTTTCTACTCCCTACCTTCAGTGGCCCAGCTACCTTAGTACCACAGAATTCAAAAATACCTGCAGTCTCTTGCTTCAAAGCAGTGATGGCTATATAACCTCCTTTATTCCTTGGGGTGGATGCTGCCTCTCTCACAGGCTTCCAAGGATCTCCAGGATTTTCTGCCTTGAGCCCAAGACCAGCCCAGAGAGACCAGAGACCATCAAGGAGATGTATCTTCCCTGAAGATACCCGCCCGCGCTAGCAAGCTAGAGGGCTCTTCTATCAAGTGACTGGTTCTTTTTTTTTAAAACTTTATTTTATTTTTTGAGACAGAGCCTCAAGCTGTCCCCCTGGGTAGAGTGCCGTGGCATTACAGCTCACAGCAACCTCCAACTCCTGGGCTCAAGCGAGTCTCCTGCCTCCGCCTCCCAAGTAGCTGGGACCACAGGCGCCCGCCACAACGCCTGGCTGTTTTTTGGTTGCAGCCATGATTGTTGTTTGGCGGGCTGGGCTGGATTTGAATCCACCACCTTAGGTGTATGTGGCTGGCACCTTAGCCATTTGAGCCACGGGCGCCGAGCTATGGTTCTGACTACTCTGGCCTTCCTGCTTTCTTCTCCATTTAACTTAGAGACCTCACCTTTCATCCTGAATTCCAGACTTGGTTGTAACCCTAGGTGAGGAAAGAACCATTTTTGTAGAGACCATGGCCAGCTAGGATACCTGGAGCTCTGGGAAGTTAAGTGGTGAGAGACCACTCCCTTGTTCAATTAACCACTCCATTTAGGGAGAAGTCAGGGTTCTACCAGAGAAGGGGCTTCTAGGTTCTGACTGGCTTTGTACCTTGAATTCCCCTCATCCTGATTGTAAGCTCAGCCACTTATGCAAACCCAAAGAAGTCCTTTGCTTTGGCCAGTACTCACAGAAAGGGCTCCAAAAATCTGCCTCCCTCACATACTTGCTCAATAAATATTACCCACATTAGGACTCAGCTATAGTTCTTGCACCTCATCTATCCTTGTGGATTTCTGCATCCTTCCTTCCGGGGCCTGTCTTTATCTAGGGATGTGGACTTTGGATCCCCTTCAATCTGCAGCAACAGGACAGAGGGTAGGCCTTCCAGGCCAGGCTGTGCCTTGCCCCTTCTGCTCCTGGGGAGGAACCTAGCCTTGTTGACCAGCATGCTCAGGCCACATCCCACAGAGCCTCAGCTGCTGACCTGGAGCCCTTGGTAACAATGAGGCAGACACTTAAGTTTCCGTTAAGTTGTAGGAATTTATTTTAAATAACCTACAGTTGATTAAAAGGGAATTCATGATAAAAATAGAAGATACTTGAGGAAAGATGTGGGAAATGGACTCTGCACACACGCTAAACTAACAATGCCTCTAAAACTAATGATTATAGCAAAAAATGTCTTCACATTAAAATTCTGCTTTTTATTTTTTTTTCCATTTTTTACACAATTACAAAAGAAAAAAATAAGAGCCCTAAAATCTTGATTATTTTTCCTTTTTTTTTTTTTTGGACCAAATACTCATTTTCCTCTAAATTTACTGACCTGTGGAACTTTTTATACAATAAAATCTTTCAATTGAAAGACTGGAGTTTAAAAAGAAAAAGATGGATATCTTAAGGGTACAGAGAATGCTCAGAACAAAGGATGATGGGAAAATGGTTTCAGTCACTGATTATTTCATTATCCTTAGACTCACTCGCCCTTTGTCCCGCCCCAACCCCAATCTACACGATCTTTAAGATCAAGAAAAAGGTTTAAATATTTTAAAATAATTAAAAAGAAATAAAAATTCACATTTAAAAAAGAACACTCAAGTCAGGAAATATTTTCCCATCATGCTTTTCTGTGAACAAGTGTCTGAACCAAAACACTGCCGATGTCAGACTGCTTCAAGTTTAATGAAAGTTGATTCCCATGACAATAGAGAGTGATGACTCTAACAGGTGCGCTGGGGTTTTGTTCTACTTAATTTTAAATTCCTGAAATGGGGGAGGAGGGAGGGAATTTAGGAATTTATTTCTATTAAAATATAGAAGTTATTGCAAAACCCTAACTGTAAAAACGCACCAATATAATCGGACTTCGCATACAGTAGCTAAGAGAATCCAAATGTTTCAGTGAAACAGTGAATTTGCCCGGCAGAATGCTGACAAATTCCCCTCCACTTGCCCTCTTGAAAATAAAAAAACAATTCAAAACAAATCATACAGCTAGAATTTTGATATCTGAAATATTTTTAAATAAGTTGTCCATAGGACAACTGGCTCAGCTCTCCCTTATAATATCTCCAGGTTATCTTTTCGCAAAGATGTTGGTTAAGACTTGCTGCCTCTCTCCCTCAGTTGTGAGGGCAAGCGAGGCTCAGTTTATCCATCTTCCCCAAACCATACTGTTCCTTTTCACAGAACTCTGCCCCTTGAGACTGGTTAAAACTCAAAGTCTTCATCAGCCATGTCAATGGCCCAAGCAAACTTTTCCCGCTGGGTTTTGTTGTAAATTTTCTCAATTGGGACGCCCCACTTTTTGCACCTGCAAACAAGGGAGAAAGATGGGAGATTAGCGTGAGTCAGAAAGCAATAGCCCAGACCCAGGGCTCAGGCTCAAACCCGCCTTCTTCATATCAGTCTAGTGAGGATGTGGATCAACGGTGTACCAAGCTTTATGTGATCAACTCATCTAATCTCGGCTGTGATCTCTAACATAGATGTTTCCAGAGATGTACAGATGAAAAAACTGAGGCAGAGACATTATGTATTTTACTTATGTTCTCATGCAGCTAGTAAGTGGTAGAGCTGAAATTTGAACCCAAACAGTTTGGCTCCATGCTCTGAACCGCTGTACTATATTGCCTCTCAAGAGCTAACCAAACAAGGCTAAAAAGAGCAGAAAAGAGAAGAAGAGCTGGGTGGAACCTCTGGTCAGTAGAATAAATGCTATAGGGAATAACACTTCCACCCATGCCCAGAATTTAACAGCTCAAACTAAACATCTTCAAGAAAAGACACCTGGTTTAGATGTTGTAACATGGGTGTGTTTGTGTGTCTGAGAGAACAGCAGAGAGCAGTGGTTGTCAACCTTCGTTATGCCATGACCCTTTAATACAGTTCCTCATGTGGTGGAACAATGAAAATATGGTTGGGGGTCACCACCATAGAAGTGGTGCCATAGAGGATCTATCTGCCTTTATTAAAAGGTCCCTAAACCTCTTTGTGTGGGTTGCTTTGATCTGTATTCTCATTTTTGTTTTATTTCATTCCTACCTTTCTTCCTCCAATTTCAAAAATTTCACTGATAATTTTTGTTAAAGTGTAGATGGATGGGCTCTATTCTAGTTTTCCTTCAATAGAGAAGAGTTTCCATTCCCCTCCTAAAGTTCCTTAAGGGATAGGAATTGTACTTGCCTTTTATAAACAGATTATGAACACCAAGGCAGTACAATAACACTGGCCACTTAGGATCATCCCGGTGTTCCAATGCATCTGTAGAAAAGGTTAGCAACCAAGGCACCATGTACACAGCAGAAGCAGAGGGTTCCCAGCTGACTCCAAGTATGTGTTTAGCAACGGCCTGTGAAGGCTGACAGTGCCCTTGAAGCCCCCTCTACTTTTCCTGAGCTAGCAGTAGGACCTCAACACTTACCAAGCGACTGTGATCCTAGGGTCCAGATAATTGAGTTTGGAGGTTCCCAAAGCAATCTGTTTATTTTCCTCTCGGTCTGTGGCCAGAACTTCCAGCTTCATCAACTGTTCCTCCAATCTCTGGACAGCCTTCTTCTTTGATTCTACTACCCTAGAAAAATGGCAGTTATCAAAAATGAGGCCTGGCCTCTGGATAGGTGCACAATGGAGCCCCACCCTGCCAGTTGAAGCAGTAAAAGCATAAAAGCCTCAAGCATAGAGATTTGCAAAGATACCTCTCAGAGACCTTAGGCTGGAGCCCCAGGGCCTCCAATCAATATCACACACACACTTTTTCTCAAATAACCCCAAGTTTGTGCAATTTCAGGTACATACTTCTTGGTCTTTGCGTCTTTCATGACCTTGGCGTCAGCCTTGGCGCTTTTCAGGTCTCTCCGGGCATCTGCTAGCTGTTCCTTCTTGGCATCAATCTAGGTAGGGAAGAACAACAAGGTTAGGATCAAAATGAGCCAGAGAGAATAAAGGGCTCCACCAGAGAAGGTGAAACCTAGAAGTTGTCTCCACCAGGCAGACAGTGGCCTGCTGGGTAAAAACATCAAGGGTGCAGTCATAAAAGCAGAGCAGAAAAGCATAGTGGCTACTTAATTCAAGTGCTGTTTATTCATTTATGATCTTCAGTGATCCTCTGAGAAATGCAGGTTCTATAATGCAGTAACCTGGGGCTCGGGGAAAGGAACCTGCTGGGACTGGGAATCTGGGTGCTCGTCTTTCAGAGAACAATTTGGCTTCAGACATCTGAGAGGAGAGTTATAAATGACTACTGTTTACAATAAAGATCTAGGCCAAGTTTTAGTCTTCTTTCCATGAATACTGTAGGACTGTGGTTCCTAGGCCGCAGACCAGTACCAGTCAGTGGCCTGGTAAAAACCAGGCAGCATGGCATCATCACTTGAGCCTTGTGTGCCTCTTGTCCCATTCCGACCGCCCCACCTGGGGAAAAATTATCTTCCATGAAACTGGTCCCTGGTGCCAAAAAGGCTGGGGCTCACTATTGTAGGAGATGCTTTTTAGGAAGCTGAGGCAGGGTATCTGCACATACAGAGCAAGCCGAGCTTAGCCCTTAGATTGGATGCACTAGAGAGAACAGCACAGGGATCAAAAAATGGCAATTAAAAGGAACCTAGGAAGCCAAAATGCTCAGCCAGTCTGTCCCCAAACCGTGGCCTAGCTTTAGGATTGTTTTAAAAGGAAATTATCAGTCCATTTCAAAATGAGTATGAAAACATTTTTAGCTGTCTTCCCCTGACCCCTACCCCTGTAGAATCCATGTCTATAAAGGAAGACAGTAGCGCACTTTCAGCTTTTCTTGCTTATTAGAATCCTAAAGCACCTCAGAGAATCTAATCTTAGATTCCTGCTTAGCAACAGCAGTGGGTACTGGCATTTGGCTAAAGCCTACACTGCTGGGAGCAGGAGAACCCCAGATGTGCGATCATCTTGCTGACCTGAGGTCAAGAGAACCTCCACAGAGTAAATACATGCTTGACTGACACAACTGGGCTGCTGCTCACAGGGACTAGAATTGTTTGTTAGACACACTCACACAGCACAAGATTGGGAACAGAGGCCACCATTGTGAGATAAATCATTAAATCTGTTTTACTATGAATGGCTTACTTCCAACATCTATGTTGTCCAAAGCCAAACTGAGGGAATTGATTCTATATCCAAAAGTATTACAGACACCACCAGCCAGATTCCTTTTCGGCTAGAAATACAGCAAACCACAATCTTTTAACCATTTCTGTGAATGCCACATTGGCAGGCTGTGTCAAATTCTCTCAAAGCATCAAAGGCTCCATTGATTCACTTGGCAAACAGGGGCGTGTGTTTGCTTTGTGGGCATACAGGAGAAGATTCCTGGGCTCAGAGGGTTCGTCTGGCAGGCAGCCTGGGCTGCCCAAACAGTGGTTCCAGAGTGAGAGCAACAAAAGACCTCCTCATTCTCCTGGGAGGGGTCTCTTGAATTAGGTAAACAGCACCTGAATATTTTGTGCTTTTATTTCTGGCTCAGAATAATAACATGAGAGTAAATAATTCCAGATGGCCATTTAACGGAGTGGTAGCCAGCAGGAGCTGTTACAAGAGGTGGTCTATAGGGTTCTCGGCCTGCCCCCCACATGATCCAAGAATTCCTGCGGTCTATAGACAGACACTCATTCCCTGGGAGGATGAACACCCCTTCAGAAAAGCCAGATGGCATCTATACCATAAACCATCGCCTGTCTGTGCCTTTTGACCTACTGTTGGATACTACTGAACTGGGAATTTATCTCGAAGAAATCTTAAAACACTGTGGGTCTGAAGATGTGTATGTAGTCTTCATTCCACAGCAGTTTTAAATTCCAGTTGTCTTTGAGTATACAGAATCCCATGAACTTAAATGGCAATAAAAATTACATCTATAATTTCATTAATCTGAAAATGAAATTTACTATTTCATTTATGAATGTGGGAAACAAACCACAGTAATATCAGTACTATTTATGACTTCATCAACAATGTATGTTCCATATGCTGTCATGTCATTTACAATTGTTAACAGTAATCTTCAAGTGTCATTTACATTCATTACTACCTTCAAATATACAGGAGTTATAACTACTTAAAGACCTTACATTAGTAAGGAAGTACACCTATTTCTGTATTGTAGACTTTAAAATATATTTTGAGCTCACCTAATGGGCACAGTGTAAGGGTATATGGCAACCTCCTAGGTGTGGGATTCAACAACAGACACCTTACCTAGCAAACACAAACAATGTAACCTAATCATCTGTACCCTCCTATTAAAATTTAAATTTAAGTAAAGATAAAAGTTTTGATAACTGCACTTCAATGTAATTGGTTTCCTTTGTAACCCTGTTTATCTGTTCTGTAAAATTAAACATCTGTAAATTTTGTGAGTTAACAAATTAGGATGGATTAGTTATGTAGCCCTTGCTAGCATAAAAATGCTTATCTTCAAATGCTAAGTGCCTTGTGGTTTGGAAGCTCAGTACCAGGCAGAGTTGGAGGCCGAGAGGCGCATGGAAGAGGAACAGCATCTACTTGTCTGCACACCCCTCTTCCCCTCTAGGGCAGCCGCTCTGGCACCCAGCCAATATCCAACAAATGTTTGATGACGAACTATATAAAAATATGATTCATGTGGAATGTGTAGAAATAAAATAATTGTGATGGGATTAGGGAGAACTTAAATATAATTGTTTCATCATCTTTTCAATGTGAAACAATCTAATTTGGAAACAGTTGTATTTCTGGGCTGTGGAAAGGATCTGTGAAGACTCTTTACATCCATTTTCCTTATGTACAGTAAGGACAATAATGAGGAATTAGAGGGTACATCAAAGCTAGCTTTTCAAATAGGAATGATCAACGTAGAATTTCTGTCCATAAAGATGTCCTGAACAAGGATCTTCATCAGAGATTACTATGGTATTTCCATTTGTGTATCTTTAGAATGAATCTTTCTTCCAGAATAGACCCAGAACTGGCCTGCTGATATTTTTTATACAAGATACCTTAGACTGCAAGTTCATCATAGACTTCTCAAAAGTTTTTGGTGGTGCCCTCTGATGGTTACAAAGAATTGCAACAGCTCGATTGGCACGGTTATAAGAAAGGATCTTTGCCGGGGTGTTCTCATCCGCTGTAAAGAAAGATACAAGACAGGGAGAGAGTCAGTTTGTACACCAGGGCTGCACACATCACGTGTCTTCCTCAGTGCCTCACCCCCAGGACTTTACTGGCCCTTATCTCACTCAGATGATCTATTCAAGTTTCCCCCAAGGCACGAGGTCAAAATCTGAGTCAACAGTCATGAGAAAAAGACAGCAGGAAGTTTCTATGTAAGCTTAGCCTGAGTAAATTCCCATCCCAGGAGAGATTCTGAGTGTGTGGAATCAAATCTACACCTTTCAGGGTATGTGGCTGGGGCCTTCATCTGCTTGCCTCATTCCTTCCCTCCCTCCCCATCCAACGTTGCTAAATGTGGGATCGGGACAGAAAAGGTCTATAGAGCAGGGTGAGACAAAGGGGCCTTAAGTTTTACATTTTTAAGCTATATTTAAAAAGAAAAATGTAAAAATGTCCTCCAAAGAAATTTCTTTACTTGTACTATATGACATTCTTCATTCCTAATACCAATGACCTTCAGCGTAATTACCTCTGGCTTTTGTGGCTCATATTCTGAGGCCATTTGACATATTTAGAGGACAGTGGAAATTTAGTAGTAACTGGGCTCCAGGAAAAAAAGCCTGTGGCTCTTGGTAGTTTTTAGAATATTACCTACTTTCCTATGGGGGAAAAAAATGACATTAACCTCAGGGAAAGGACTTGTTCCTATATTTTTCTGGTAACCATGACAACTTTACTTTCTCCAGTTCAACAGAACATCACCCTATTATATCTTTACCCTGTGAGCTTTTAAACAACATACATACAGCACAAAATGCAGACATTTTCATAGCAGGTAGAAAACTGTCAGCATTCCTTGAGATTAATCTAGAAAGCTGGGGATAAGAGAGGGAAACGGCACTGATCCTGTGTTTATACAACTAAGGCTTGGCTCTCTACTAGAGATCTGAAGGGAAAGTTTCCAGTCACGATGGTGAAGAAAAACGGTAGAACTGACCTAGGACACAGCTAAGCAAGGACCTTGGACACCATTAGTAGACAGTGTAAGCCCTGTCTGCCCAAGCAATACTTACGGACAGTGAGTTCTTTTAGTTGTTGCTGTAGCGTGATGGAGGCATTGTATGTACGGAATACCTTAGCCGTCAAGCCCTCCATGAGATCCTGAAGGTGCTTATTTAGAATACCAGTCTGGAGGAGAGAGACAAAGCCAACAGAGAAGACACTGAGTTTTAGGTAAAAGCTGTACGCTTCCCCTTCTGGAGTCACTTATGCCAGAGCAGTCACAATTTTGTCAAGTTTATTACAAGCAGGCAGTTGGGAAGAAAGGGAAAAGAATTCCAGAATATACAGGGTCATGGGATGCTCCCTTATAAAATACTTCACTCTTAAGCCAATAAAGCTAATTTGTCCCTCCCTATTATAAGAGGACAGGTTTTGGGTCTCCAGCAGAAGTTGTTGGATATCTAGCCAAAAGCGGAGCTCCAGGGGTCAGGGGAGGATAAAAGGCTAGGTTCATCTACCCCTGCCTTTAAGGCTCTGGCAGCTGTTCCACAGTACAGAAGTATCTATCTGCTCCTGGCCAGAGACAGTGTGCGTGGAGAGAGTAAGGAAGAGTCTACAGGATACCACAGGACTGGGTAGGCTGAAGGGACAACCCAAGTCACTCCTTGGAAACCCTTACTTTTAGGAGCTTGTGAGAATGGCTGGAACTCCTACTTACATTGAGTCTATCAAAAAGATCATCCTCAGGCTGTTTGTTCTCCATAAATAGTTGTAGGTTCTTAAAAACCTAAAAGAAATAGGTAAAGCTGAATTATTACTATTTTAAAAGCCTTTACTTTTAAAGGGCTCAGCACCTGTAGGCTCAGCACCTGTAGCACAGTGGTTATGGTACCAGCCACATGCATTGAGACTGGCGGGTTTGAATCCAGCCCAGGCTAGCTAAACAACAATGACCACTGCAACAAAAAAATAGCCAGCCAGGCTTTGAGGCGGGTGCCTATAGTCCCAGCTACTTGGGAGGCTGAGGCAAGAGAATCGTTTAAGCCTGAGAGTTTGAGGTTGCTGTGAGCTGTGATGCCAAAGCACTCTACTGAGGGTGACACAGCAAAACTGTCTCAGGAAAAAAAAAAAAGGAAAAAAACCCTTTATTTCAGAAATAATTTCAAACTTACAAAAACTTGCAAAGAAAAGGCACAAGGTATACACATACATCCTTTACCCAGCTTTACTGTTAAAATTCCACCATTTGTGCAGTGTGCATGTCTGTAGACATGTGTGTTTACGTACATATATACATAATTGAGCCATATATTATGATCCTTCATCCCTAAACATTTCAGTGGATATTTTTGAAAAACAGGTATTCCTTCACATTTACATAATACTTATGAGCTTCATAAATTTCCATTGCTACATATAGTGGTCTAATCTACTGTCCATAATCCAATTTTGTCAGTTGACCTAATGATGCTCTTTATTTTGCCAGTACAGAATCTAATCTAAGGTCAGATACTCATTTAATTGTCAGGTCTCTTTGTTCACCTTTAACCTGGAGCATTTCCATAGCCTGCGAAGCCTAATTATTGATAATGATCAGAATGCTGATGGGCTAGATCACTGGAGTTCCAAGTGCTAGGTCTCTGGTTCAAGCCCAGTAATTGGGGAAAGATTAGGTTGGGACTATGGACTTGCTTCACTGATAGGCTCAAGATCTGGGACTAAAGGTTACACTTTCACTGAGGAGCCAGGGAGAGGGTGAGCTTAGATGCAAAGGGATAAACGTGCAGTGCGACTGGGGATACCGAGATGGGGCTAAATAACTGAAGCTATGTGGTAGGGTCAATCAAATGTTCCATCTGCTGTGAGAGCCAACTCTCTGCACATGCTCTGTTGGATACTGCTGGGCAAGATGCCCCTTCATTCCCAGGAAGTAGCACAGGGTAGGGGACAGGGATTAAAAGGAGGTACATAGGACAGCAATGTCTCTCCCCTCTTTTAAGCCATTTATTTTTATTTATTTTTTAGAAATAGGGTCTCACTATGTTCCTAGGCTGGAGTGCAATGCCTATTCATAGATGCTATCATGGGGCGGCACCTGTGGCTCAAAGGAGGAGGGTGCCCGGCCCCATATACTGGAGGTGGTGGGTTCAAACCCAGCCCCAGCCAGAAATTGCAAAAAAAAAAAAAAAAAAACCCAAAAACCATAGATGCCATCATGGCACTCAAACTTTTGGTCCCAATTGATCCTCCCACCTCAGCCTCCCACATAGCTGGGACTATGGGCATGTACTGCCACATCCGGCTCAAGTCATTTTTTTGAGTGCCTAGCAAAGTGCAGAGCACATGAAAAGGATTCAGTAACTATTTGTTGAATGAATGAAAAACAGGTCAGGGAGCACAAGCCACGTTAACTTACTCGTTTCTCGACGGGGACCTTGTTATAGTATCTGATCGAGTCCTTCCCAGGGAAGTCAAACTCTACCACGTATTCCTGACCATCTAGCTCTGGGTGCAGATTGATGTGCTCCACACGAAGTGAGCAACAGCCCACAGTGTCCGCCGTCTCTCCTTCCTCCTTCTCGTTGCCTGCTCTCAGAGCAAGCTACCCGGGGAAGACGGAAGAAAAGGTGCGCATGAACAAAGAGACTGACCCTCATAGGAAACCACCAATAGAAGCCACCCACTTCTCCTTGGGGACAGAGCATCAGTCTGCATGGCCTGGACATTCTGCACTCTGCAGTGTTACTTCTTCCCTTATAAAACCTACAGGGCTATAAAACTTAAAAAGATTCAAGTTTCTCTTCTGTCTACTTTGTCTTCTGAAATGGATAGAGAAAAGGAAGAAAAAACTTTAAAAACAAGACAGCAAATGAATGCGTGTTATTATTCTGGGCAAGTAGATGCAAAAAAAGCTAGTGTTTTAATTTTGAGATAATTTAGAACTTATGCCAAAATATAACCAGTATTCAATTAGGGGAAAAACATGAAATCTTGTTTTTCTTAGGAACACTGAGAAACTGATCTCCAGAGCACTGTCTCTCAAATTGTAGTTGTGATACAAGCATGGTGTGTTTAACCAATTTTATGGGTCATAACTATCTTTGGTTATGACCAAAAAAATCAGAATCCACTCCTTGTATAACTAAGTTTCATACAACTTTTGATTCAGTTATACACAAATATATTTACATGTGTGGTGGGCTGTGATATAAAGAAATTATTGTGGGCCCTGGCCAAAGAGTTTAAAAATGTCACAGTATCTCTGACACATTCATATTCAAGCAAATCCTATCAGGCAGGATGTACCCATACAGCAGCAGACACACTGTGCATGCCTCTCTCTCTCTCTACTTCTGTCTTCCTTACTGGTGCAAGCCGGCAGGTGTTAGGGTGTCACTGTCTCTCTAGTACTTGGCACAGGGCCTGGGGCAGAACAGACACTCCCCACACCTTTGTTAAGCTGAACACTAGACGTGATGCTAAGGAGAAGATGGTCTCACCTTGTCAATGAAGTACAAAGCTACAGCTCTCTGCCGGACTTTCATCTCTTTGGACTTCCAGTCTTCTCGATATTGGTTCCGGATCTTATCCACACATTTCTTCAGCCGCCGAGCAATCTCATATTTCTGCCAATCTTTCTCACCCTGCAAAGATCCAACCCCAAAGGTAGACTGCTTAGGAATGGTGGAATAAAAACAAACTTGGATGTCAAAGTTCAGAGATCTGAACTGAAGAGCAGGAATCTGACCTTAAACAAAACTGAAAAAGAACAGTACTAAAGAGAAAGTTTGGGGCATTTAACCTGAAGGGAACACACGCTGTCCCATCTCACTGTCAAGTACAATTGGCTCCTGATCTAATCACAAAGAAAGCTTCCAGTTTCTATTCTGTACAATATTTATGTTCTTGGGGAGAGGCCACATGGCATGTCCCCAAAATTGAATTCTACTAACACAAAGGGTATAAACACCCCCATTTCCACATCTGCACCATACATAGCCCTGCTGTCAGATCTGTGACCCGATAGAACTTTTCTGCTAAGACTGAATTCCACTAAACTTAAGATTATCATTCACAGTTTGGTGGCACTGTCAAAGAGGCAGAACCAGACATGTATCATGTAATTACTAAGGAACACAATGACTTCCAGGAACAGCCATAATTATTCACCATTTTCTATCTTCTGCACTTAAAATTGTTCCCTGAGTAGATTGAGAGATTAAAAATGTTTCTGTAAAGATTTTTTATTTTTAGGAAAAATTAGAGCTTTGATGGGTAAATTCATAGTTAACGGGTAAAATGCACACTTTCTGGGGGATAGACACAATTATAATCTCAATTCAAACTACACAGAAGTAGTGCGTATAAACCAAACATGCATACCTCTGTAACATTCTGAAATTTAAAAAATATTAAGGCTGGGTACATACAATGGCTCACACCTGTAACTCTAGCACTCAGAGGCTGAGGTGGGAGGATCACCTGAACTTGAGTTTGAGAGCTCAGCCTGAGCAAGAGCAAGACCTTGTCTCTACTAAAAATAGAAAAACTAGCTGGGCAGTGTGGTAGGCACCTGTAGTGCCAGTTACTCAGGATCCTGAGGCAGGTCAGATTGCTTGAGCCAAGAACTTTGGGAGAACCACTTAAGGCCAGGAGTTTAAAAGTGGTGTGGGCAACATAGTAAGACACTGCCTCCAAAAAAAAAAAAAATTTATAAAGGGGAGTGCCTGTGGCTCAAAGGAGTAGGGCCCGGCCCCATATGCCAGAGATGGTGAGTTCAAACCCAGCCCCAGCCAAAAAACAGCAAAAAAAAAAAAAAAAAAATTTTTATAAAGAATTAGCCAGGCACGGTGGTGCACACTTGTACTCCCACATATGCAGGAAGCTGAGATGGGGGAATCACTTGAACCCATGAGTTTGAGGCTGCACTGAGCTATTATTGTGCCACTATACTCTAGCCTGACAAAGCAAGACCTTGTCTCTCCAAAAAGAAAAAAAGGCACAGAACATGACGTGAACATAAAGAAGAATTTAAGAACCCAAGAATCTTTGCTGTTAATTACCCCACCTGTAACAAAGGTAAGGGGAGTGATCTCTAGCAGCATTTGCCTGGGTCCTGCCTATGACATGGGCAACCATGGTCATAAGAACTGTGGTCAATGTAACCATCCTTCTCAGCGTGCAGAGGTGTAGCATAAATAGAGCAAGAAATGTCTTCCACATCTAGATCCTGAAAAATGCTCAGAGATAAAAGCTCATATGGGTATGCTAGGGAGTCGCCAGCACTCTCCCACAGTCATGTGTGTACAGCTATATGTATCTGTTTGGCTACTAAATAAGAGGTTCAGTAACTACTTGCTAATCGTGGGTGGATGACTTGGTAGTTGGTGACGCAGAAAAAATACCTAAGCCTTATTTCCTGGGGAGCTGAAAATTTCTCACTGATGTTTCTCAGTACATTTTGACATTTAAGAGGGTGACCAAGAAAAGAAAAGGTGTGATACACACGGTCCTCATGAACAAGTCAGCATTAAATCTCCATGACCGTCACTCTTGCTTACACAGAAAAATTAGACACAAAAGACTCATCTTCTATAGCACAGTTTCCAGCTCAAGAGTGGCCTCTTTCCACTCACTCCAGTGCACACAGGCCTACCAGCCTATCTCAAAGTCTTGCTGTTTTGCCCAGGCTAGTCTTGAATTCCTGCTCAAGCCATCTTTTGCTTTGGATCCCAAAGTGGTTGGATTATAGGCATGAGCCACTGTGCCCAGGGGGGGTGATTTTTTTTTTTAATTATTTAAGAGACAGAGTCTTATTTTGTTGCCCTCGGTAGAATGCCATGGTGTTACAGCTCACTGCAACCTCCAGCTCTTGGGCTTAGGTGATTCTCTTGCCTCAGCCTCCCGAGCAGCTGGGACTACAGGCACCCACCACAACCCCCGGCTATTTTTTGTTGCAGTTTGGCCAGGGCTGTGTTCGAACTCGCCACCCTCAGTATATGGGGCCAGTGCCCCATTCACTGAGCCGCAAGCGCCGCCCCCAGGGGATGATTTTTAAAAACTAGAGGCGGTACCTATAGCTCAAAGGAGTAGGGCACCGGCTCCATAAACCAGAGGTGGCAGGTTCAAACCCAACCCCAGCCAAAAACTGCAAAAAAAAAAAAAAAAAAAACCCCTAGCAGACCCATGATATTTTATTTAATATAGCTGCTTACCCATTCAGTAGAGTGGGTTAAGTGGGAACAAGATTCAAAACTGCAAAGTAGGAGGTAAAGGGGCAAACCAGATCCCATTTTCTAATATAGTCTAAGAGACTTATGTTGGAAATGATGACATTAGTCTTACATGGCTATTCTCACTAGGATGGTGATCCCATATGAGTTTACCATAATTTAGAATACCAAAGGGTGAATGTACTCTGATCCCCCAAAATGTATCATTTAAATAAAACTCACAACAAATTGGCCCTACATATATATACCGTGCTTAAAAACAGTATTTAACCAGCTTTCTACACATTCCTGTTTTTATTTTTCTTTTTTGAGACAGAGCCTCAAGCTGTCCCCCTGGGTAGAGTGCTATGGCTTCACTGCTCACAGCAACCTCCAACTCCTGGGCTCAAGTGAGTCTCCTGCCTCCGCCTCCCAAGTAGCTGGGACCACAGGCAGGTGCTATTTTTTGGTTGCAGCCGTCATTGTTGTTTTGGCGGGTCCGGGCTGGGGATTTGAACCCGACACCTTAGGTGTACGTGGCTCGCGCCTTAGCCGGTTGAGCTATAGGCGCCGAGCCATCATTGTGGTTTTGATTTGCATTTCTCTAACAACGAATGACATTGAGCATTTTTTATGTGTTAGTGTTGTTTGGCGGGTCTGGGCTGGATTCCAACCCGCCACCTTAGGTGTATGTGGCTGGTGCCTTAGCCGCTTGAGCCACAGGTGCCAAGCCTTTATTTTTTTTGAGATGGGGTCTCAACTCTGTCCTTGGGGCCTCAAGTGATCCTCCTGCCTCAGTCTCCTGAGTAGATGGAACTGCATGATGTCTCCAGTTTAGGTTTTTATGAATATAGATCTGCTATGAATAATTGTCTACAAGTCTTTCATCTCACTTGAGGTAAAAAGATTTAGAACTGGAGTTTGTATCTCATTGTGGTTTGAATCTTTATTCCAATGATAATTAAGTGATGTTGAGCACTCTTTCATGTACTTACTTATTTCCTAGTCCTACATTTTCTTCGGTAAAGTATGTGTTCAAGTCTTGTGCTCTCTTTTGTGGGGATATTTATCTTTCTACTGTGGAGCTATAGGAATTCTTTGTATATTCTCAATAGGTTCTCTGTCAGATAAACATGGTAACAATGTTTAATTGAACAAAAAGTTCCCATTTTGATAAAAGTCAATTTTATCAATTGTTTCTTGTATTGTTTTTAAATATTTTCTTTTTTTTTTTGCAGTGTTTGGCCAGGGCTGGGTTTGAACCCGCCACCTCCAGCATATGGGGCCAGCACCCTATGCTTTGAGCCACAGGCGCCGCCCTCCTGTATTGTTTAAAAAAAAAAAAAAAAAAAAAGCATGTGGCTTATTTTCTTGTTCTAATAACACCAAAATCAGAGCTTTCCAAGACTATTACAGTTTTTAAAAAGTATTTTCCTTTACATCTAGCCCTTTAATCACTAGGTGGTTATACTTAAAAGGTTGTAGGCACATATATCTTTGAAACCCCAAAGAATTATAGGTTCTAAAGAGAAAAAAGGCAGAAGTGTATATTTGGTACCGACCATATTTGAGTAAGACTACATGCAATGGGATGATAACCTTGATTCTAAAGTTAGCTGTACTTCATTTGAAAGAAAAATCATAATGGATTGTTTGTAAAGTTAAGGCTTGTTTAGAGAACCTTTTATCGAGGGCTGTTTCCCCAGGTTACGAGAGCAGATAATGCTCGCAAACTTGGCAGTAGGTTGTACTTAGCTTGAGTACCTATAAGCAGCCTGTTTGGAAACTCCTAGATTATCTGGGATCAGAGAGCTTCCTTTGTTCAAATTATAGGTTTGAGAAGGCTGGCTGTCATTCTACTGCTATTTAAGATTCTATGGTCACAAGGCACAGACTAGGAGGAAAAGGGAAGGGAACTACTTGCAAGAAAATGTCTGTAAAATGGAAATTCTGGGAAGAAAAACAGAACAAACTAGGATGACCGTAGAACACGTGAATGAGTTCAGGACAACCTTTTTAGTACCTGGAGCATGTTATGGGGTTCTCAAAAATCCTGATCTTTTCAGTGACCTTTGAAGTCGCTGGAAGTAGTGAAACATGCCTATAACTGTAAGTAGGCTAATCCAAGTTTCCAGAAAGGGGATAAGGATAGGGCATATCAAAGGGACACACACTTCAGCTGCTTTATACTTTTGCGTCCTTTTTACTCTTTAATGCTCTAATTTTTCAGATTGCCAAAAATGTGCAGTTCATATCATGCTTGTGCTAAATGGTACAGTAATGTTACACGAGGAATGCGAGTTAGTAAAATACAGATACAAGAGTAAGCAGAAAGTCTTAGAATGGGAAGACATCTTTGAAGGCTGAGCAGAAATGCGTGTAACAGAAACTCCATGGCGGGCCTCCCATATATTAGACCTAATGTCTTCCTGAAGTAAAACCATCATTCACCATCCTGCTGCAGAAACATACTCTTTACACAGGCTTCATCGCAGGAAGTCAGTGGAACCATGCTTTAATCACCTTTTCCAATGAAAGCACTCCATGCAAGAGGGGGACCTGACGCGCCAGAGCCTGTGTTAGCTTGGGCTGAGCTGGCCTAGCCGATTCCCTCTAAAAAAGGAAGGAATGAGAGGAGAAGTGGAGAGGAAAGAAGAAGAAAAGAAAAAGGAACAACACACAGGCAAAAAACACTTCACAATTGGTTCGGTGCCTGTGGCTCAAGCAGCTAAGGCGCCAGCCACATACACCTAAGGTGGCGGGATCGAATCCCCAGCCCGGGCTCGCCAAACAACAATGATGGCTGCGACCAAGGAATGGCCAGGTGTTGTGGCGGGCGCCTGTGGTCCCAGCTACTTGGGAGGCTGAGGTGGGAGACTCGCTTGAACCCAAGAGTTGGAGGTTGCTGTGAGCTGTGATGCCATGGCACTCTACCCTGGGGGACAGCTTGAGGCTCCGTTTCAAAAAAAAAAAAAAAAAAAACACTTCACAATTAAAGGGTTTACAAATAATCAAAAAACACAAGGAAAATGGCTCAGAAAAACTGTCAACAAAACAATAATTAGCACATGAATTCACTTTAGGTAACATTTTATATGACTATCTTACAAAGACTTTAAAATACATGTTTAATACGCAGAAAAAGATAAAATCTACTAAACATGACATGAAATTATAAAACAAATGAAATAAAATCAGATATGAAATAGTAAATGAAATAAATTATAAACTTTAGACTAAATATAATAAAGAATGTGAAAATACAATTTAAAAAGATGGTGTGGAGATTGAGGTGCTCCAATACTCATCTACTAGGACTGTAAGAGAAGTGCGGTGGTAAAATCTATGTTAGAGCTGAGACTTTTCAAGAATAAAAATGTTAGTCCTCAAGCTAAAAGTCCAAGTATCCATACCTACACACAGCATAGTGAAACCACAGCCCATCAAGGGTAAAAACATGTTTTTTATTGAAAAAAAAAAAAAAGATTATGAGTTAGGATGAAAATTACATAAAATTTCAAGGTCAACAAAGGTAGTGTTTGTCACTGCTGGATCTTCACAAGAAAACCCAGAACGTCTGAGATACAAGAAACCCAGAGTACAGAGATTAAATATTTGACTGTGACAACTGTCACAGGGAGAAGGTTAGGGTTTTAATGGATGACTAATTTTAAAAATGAAAAGTAAAACTTAAGCAAAAGAAACATGAGTTGTTTGAGGCTGCAGTGGGCTATGCCTATACCCCTACACTCTAGCCTTGGTGACAAAGCAAGACCTGCCTCTAAAAAACATGTATCTACAAAATACACACACACAACAACAACAAAAGACATGGAGTTCATCACAGTAATCTGAGGGAAACGGTAAACGGTACACAAATGGCTCCATTATGTTTATCGGTATTGTTTGAGTGAAATAAAGTAACTGAGCGTACAGGACGCAGTGTTAAGATGTGACAAAGCCAGATGGGGGCCTGTGTTCATTACTTTATCTATTCTTGGATAACTGAAGTATTTCACTAAAAATAAATCCCCTAAAGCTCGTACCTTTCTTTTTTTTTTCTTATACCTAAAAAGAGAAAGAATGCTTCTCCTGAGGCATCGCAAAGTTAAAAACAATTCAAGGTGCTCTCAAACCTCAACCTCTGAAGATGTCACTGTTCTGATGAATGGGAGACATCCCAGGAGAGGATCGAGAACAAGCTGAAGAAATCATATTTCTCTTTCCCTCAATGGTACCTCTTTTCTAATCCTTTAATGCCTGTTTCTTGGGATCCCATTCCAGTTGACTAAAATCAGGTACTCTTGTCCTGAGTATGAGGTTCTAGACAGGGCTTAATTCTGGGTGACTCCTAGGTGTGCTACCATAATCATTATCCAGAAACCTGCACAAATGCCTGTGTAGAACAGTTATATGGATACTGTCAGGAGTAAAACTGGCTGGCTCTCTGCCCTTGATGTGCCCACTGGCCTGTCTAACAAGGATCTCAACCCTCAGAGAGACTCCCATAATCAACTCTTAGCCTCACCAGTACAAATATCTGGTGTACATGGACCCTGTCTGCCCACTTCCATTTCCATTGCCATCAGATGTCTAAATTACCACCATTTTTTGCCTGAGCACTGAAAACAGCCTCCTATTGGTCTAATTCCTGTTTGCATCCAATTCAGGTCCCATAGACTAGCGGTCAGAATGACCAATTGTATCTGGTGTTATTTCGTAAAACACAGCTCAGTGGCTTCCTTCTGGACTTACAACGTACAAAATTTCAAAAAGGATCTGTAGGATCCAGCTGGTCTTCCTCTCCTGCCTCTTTCTTGTTCATAGTACTTTACTGTGCCGGCCTTCTTTCTGCCCTCAAAACTACTAAGCTCTTTCTTACTTCAGGGATTTCAAATGGCTATTTTTCCTGTTTGAAACACCCATTACCCTATCCTTTCCAGGGATAAAAAACCCATTCATTCTGTAAACCTCATTTTAACTGTTACCTCCTTAGAAAGGCCTTCCCTGAATCCCGGAAGGCAGATCAGGTGTCCTGCTACACTCTCCAACAATACTCGGTGCTTCTCTGCACATTTGTAACTGTTCTATTTATTGGTGTGATTTGTGTGTAATGCCACTCCTTTGTTCAATGTCCTTTAATGATCTAGTCTCTCTTAAGGATGACCGTCCATAATTTAGCAGCAGGATATTACAGGAAAACATGAGGAGAATGAAGACTTAAGAAGTTAAGAATCTAAGAAGATCTAAGTTACAGTTATCACCTATTGGATCTTAGGTAAGCTTGCTTAAATTTATTCATCCATAAAATGGTGGTTATTAGTATGTCTGATATGGTTAGGAGAACCAAATGTCAACTTCCATGAAAATGCTTTTTAATAGTAACACACAGGATCCTGATACTTTGTGCAACTCTCACTACTTTTTGTCACTCTTTTTCATACCCACTACACTTGTGCTGACCACCCCTCTGTCCCTAACGACCCAATTCTTTGTTTGGAATAACTCTTTTAAGACCCAACTGTAAATTAATCTCCTTCATCACACTCTTGATCTGAAAGTGCAGAGAATAACTGCTTATTCGTGTGACACATTTAACTTTTGCCTTTCTGCTAATACACATGAATTCTTACTCAATGCGCTCACCAACCTACAAGTTCTGTGAGGGCTAAAACCACTGTTTCTCCACCTCCAGAGCCACACAACTCCATGCTATTTCAGAAGAGGAATATGTGTTTCTTTAAAGACTTGACATTTGCTCACCATCAGTGTTCTCTTTCTGATGCTATAATTACTACTCTAAATGAGGAAAAGTACATTTTCCAATTGAAGAAAATATATACATGGGTTTGTTTCATTAGACAAGTAGTGACACACAGAATATGCATTTTATTCTTAATAATTCATATGGCCTTTTGAGCTGTGGCTTTTGTATCTTAACAGTTGTTAAGCAACCTATAAACCAGAAATCAAGAAGGTTGTTAAGTCCTGCATGTAAAACATCCACAGTCTATAAAGAACAAAGTCTTTGACTTGTTTTTTGTAAAGCTTACTCTTTTAGGTTGCTGTTCTCATTTCCACAGTATGCTGGAGAAAGTTCATGAGATTGTCAAAAGCAGAGAGTATACAGCAAGCTGGCTAATAAGAATTGATTCCCTCCCATGACAGTTTTCTCCTTTCAGTAACTATACCAATAAATAATAGCACACAAGTATATAACATAGTTTATGACGTGCTTTCACATTTATCATCTCAACCTACTCAAGTGAGCCCTGGGGAAACCAGAAATATGTAAGGCAATACATTTGACAACTTGTCTGGGATTCAAGCAATTACATTTTTTTCTCAAAGCCAAGAAACATGAGGAAAGGGAAGAGAAGATACAGAGGTCTCAGTATACATTTCCATACTCTTCACCCCATTCTGACCAGTGGCCAGGAAGCAGTATGAAGGCAGAGCCTGTGTCTGTCTCGTTTACCAGTGAGATTCTACCACAAACATACCCTGTGCCTGACACATATTGGGATTTCAGTAAATACTTGTGAATTAATAAATGGGTAAGATTTCAATGTGATGCAAAAAACACATACACCTTAGGAAATCACCAGATAATTCTAACCATGAAGTATCTGCCTTTAGTGGGGAGGGTTTTTCATTTATTGAAGTGATTATAGATGCTAAGATGATAGCTAACATTACAACAAAAAGACAGAGATCTTCAGCCCCACTAACCAGTGCAGCCCTTAGCTGTCCTCTTACCTTTATTCGTGAACTGGGGTTGAGCATGATATATTTAATGGAACCTTGGATGTTCTCTGTCCAGGAGACGAGCCAAGTAACCTTATTATCATGCCGGACCTCTTTCCACTTATGTCCTGGAGGAGGAGAAGGAACCTTGGCATCTCTGTGAAAATTAAGCAGGAGGGCAGTGAAAGGAAAAGTGAGGAACAATTTCACTTTTCATGACCCAAAGTGGATATATCTGTTGAGCACGTATTTTCAGGTTTCCTCCTTACCACTCAATAATACAGCAGCCCCGCTTCTTCTGCGGTTTTAGTTACCGAAGGCCAACCATGATTAGAAAATGAGATGAAAAATTCTAGACACATACAATTCGTAAGTTTTAAAGCACACACCCTTCTGAGGAGTGTGGTAAAATCTCTTGCCATCCTATTCAGGCTGTGAAGCATCCCTCTCTGTCCAGCACACACATGCTGCATATACCCTGTGCTAGTCACTTAGTAGCCTATCAGATCAATTGTCACAGTTCAAGTAACCCACTTACTTAAGAAAGGCCTCAAAGTGCTATAGCAGTAAAGAAGCCGTAAATTGCTTCCTCTAAGAGGAAAGGTAAAAGTTCTTGACTCAATAAAGAAAAAAAAGAAATCAAATATCTATACTCAGAACAAATCTTGAATCTGTGAAACTATGAAGGAAAAAAAATCATGCTAGTTTTGCTACTGCACCTCAAAACTGCAAAAGTATGGTCAGTGCTTAGTTAAGATTGAAAAGGCATGAAATATGAAACGTGAGTGGAAGACGAGGACAAAAACATGTTCTGATTACTGGCAATCAAGTTGGGTACTACCCATGGTTTCAGGCATCTACTGGGTGGGAGGAGTTAAGAGGCCTTAATGTATCTCCCATATTTAAGGGATGACTACTATACCTAAAAAACATTTGGAGACCTATACATGGAAAATAATCATGTTGCTCCTTCTCAAACCATACTCTGTTAACTCTGGAAATAGTCCCAACCTCTTACAGCAAAGGAAAAAAGGAAGCCCACTTCACTTTTGGTCCAAAGGATGAGGTATGTGCTCACTTGCTACAGTTGATAATTATATCCTCAGGCATGATTCTTCTCTTCAGCATGCCCATCTTGGGGTGGTTGCCACGGCCACGGAAAAGCCCAGGGGGCTCTATCTTGAAGTTGGCAATCCTCTCTTTGTGGTTATCCATAATACAGAAACCATATTCTTTCAATAATTTTTCATTCTCCTCTTTAATTTTCTGGAAGATAATAAAGAAGTACTCAAAATGGGTTCAAATTGCTATTCTCTAATCATCATTATCTCTTGTGGGAGAACAGGTCATGGTAGAGAAAAGTCTAAAAATCATTAAGAATTCAAATGAAGGAAAATCTCCAGTGGATTTCATAAATACAATAAAATTCCCCAAAATATATCTGCCAGTAAAAGTTAACATCAATTAGATTTGAAACTGATTCTAGTACCTTAAAGCAGCCATCCCCAACCTTTTTGGCCCCAAGGACTGATTTCATGGAAGACACCTCCACCACCACCACTGCTCTGAGGTGGGGGGTGGTAGGGTGGGGTGGTAGGTGGAGCATGAGATAATGACAGTGATGGGGGCAGCTGGCAGCTGTGAATACAGAGGAATCTGCTTAGCTCTCAAGCAACTGATCTCTACTGCTCATCTCTTGTGGTGCACCCTGATTCTTAAGTTTCTTGGAAGACAATTTTTCCACAGATGGGGAGGCAGGGCTGTGGAGCTCTGGACCTGCCCTAGTCCATGCCCAAGGGCTGGGGAGTTCAGTCTTAAATAATTATATTTACAAGTGTTGTTTGGGTGCTTTTATTTTTATTTTTTTTATTGTTGGGGGTTCATTGAGGGTACAGAGAACCATGTTACACTGATTGCATTTGTTAGGTAAAGTCCCTCTTTATAATTGTGTCTCACCTCTAAGAGGTGTGTCACACACTGTGACCTCCCCACCCTCCTCCCTTCCCTCTCCCCATTCCCCCATTCCTTTACCCTCTACCATGTACTAGGTCATCATTGTCCTCATATCAGAATTCAGTACACTGGATTCTTGCTTCTTCATTCTTGTGATGCTTTACTAAGAACAATGTGTTTCGACTCCATCCAGGTTAATACAAAAGATTTAAAGTCTCCATCTTTTTTAGTGACTAAATAGTATTCCATGGTATACATATACTACAGCTTGTTAATCCATTCCTGGATTGGTGGGCACTTAGGTTGTTTCCACAGTTTGGCAACTGTAAATTAAGCTGTGATAAACAGTCTAGTGCAAATGTCCTTATAATAAAATGATTTTTTTCTATTTGGTATATGCCCAGTAATGTGATTGCAGGATCAAATGAAAGGTCTAGTTTGAGTTTTTTGAGGATTCTCCATACTTCCTTCCAAAAAGGTTGTATTAAATATACTTTTAGTATTCATATTGTTTTGATGAGTAATGTCAAAATAGGAGATGAAGAAGTGTCTCTGATAGTTAGGGCCTAATGACAGAATAGCTCTGGAGCCGCTTAGCTGACTAGCACTTCACACGGGGTTTTAAGCCAGACAAATCTGTCATGGATTCTTTTCTAAGTATCTGGATACATACACTCTACAACCTTACTCCAAAAAAGCAGGAGAGAGAGGAGAATTTTGTGCCTCCTTACCTTTACTGACTCAATACTATCTAAGCAATTCAATTTAGCTTAGACTTGCTGTCTTATGGGTGGAAAAAAGACTCAAATTGCTAGCAAAAGGTTTCCTAGGTAGGGGCTCTGACAAAGGGATGTTTATAAAGCCTCTCTATCTTTGGGACACTAGTCTAAAAACAAAGCTCCAAAGTGATCTTTAAAGTTTACAAACAGTCTTATAGTAAATGATATACTAAATGTTACAAATCTGAAATAACAGGATTAACTTCAGACTGAAAAGTCTGATGCAATTATCATTCTTACAGTAACTCATTAATTTTACTTACTGGGACAGAATCTTGCTGTATTCATTCATTCACTCATTCATTTATTTAGACAAGAGTCTTCCTCTAAAGGCCCAACTAGAGTGCAGTGGTGTCATCATTTCTCACTACAACCTCAAACTCCTGGGCTCAAGTGATCCTCCTGCCTCAGCCTCCCTCAAGTGGCTGGGACTACAAGTGTCTACTACCATGCCTATCTAACTTTTCTATTAGTAGAGTTGGGGTCTTATCTTTACTAGGGGCGGGGTGTCTTCAACTCCTGAGCTTCAGCTCAGCCTCCCAGAGTGCTAAGATTATAGGCCTGAGCACTGCACCTCCCCTTTTATTTATTTAAGAGACAGGAGTCGGCTTTATCATCAAGGCTGAGATGCAGTGATGCAATCATAGCTCAGTGCAACCTCCAACTCCTGGGCGCAGGTGATCATCCTGCCTCTGCTTCCCAGGTAGATGGGATACAGGCATCACCATGCCTGGAGTTTTTTGTTTTTTGTTTTTTTTAATTTTTTGTAGAGACAGGGTGTTGCTATGCTGACCAGACTGATCACAAACTCTTGGCCTCTCTCTCCCGAAGTGCTGGGATTACAGGTGTGAACCACCACACCCATCATTAATTTTTACACTAATGGTCAAATAAGTTATATGAACCAATGTTTTATATAGATACAATGGCCTAAATTATGTAAACATGCAAGTCCTTTAAAACACTGAATCTCCAGGGCTTTGATGTGCAGAGAATTCCTTAACTTTTGATTGAAAAAAATGAAATTCCTCCAGTTCAGGGACTGGCAAATTTGTTTTTCTTTTTTTTCCCCCCATGGTGGGTGCGGGAAGGGGAGGGAGAGGGAGAAAGAGAGAGGAGGCAATTTTTTTTTTAAATAGAAAATATTTCACGCTTGCAGTCTCTACTGCAACTATTCTTTTTTGCCACTAATGTATAAAAGAGGACATAGATGGTATGTGGATAAGTAGAGGTGGCTGTGTTCCAATAAAATTTTTTTAGAAAAATAGGAAGTCTATAGAGGAAAATGATATCCCAGCTAGAAAGTAGAAAGATCCTTCAGCAATGAGCATGGCCAGGGCGAAAAGATGGAGATGGAAAGGCATGGGTAGATTCCAGAGTGAAATAGATAAAAGAACAGGCAGGTAAATGGCCAGTATTATCTCACCTGTCTTAAATCCTCATATCCAGTAGTCACTGTGGGACAGATCTGCTCATCTTTAAATATTATATTATAGGAGTTACTGATAAAGTGGAACACCAGAGTTCTTATACTGAGCTGCTGAACAAAGTGCTTATTCACAATTTTCAGTCTAAGTAAAGTCCTTAGGAAAATTTAGACTTTGTTAGGCTGAGAATTCTCAACCTTTAGCATAGAAGGATGTAAAATGACTGAAGTCAATGTTGTGTCACAAAGACCAAGAAGAAAATGAGATGAACTAATCACTATTCCAAAATTCCCCAGAGGTTTAATAAATTCTGTAGTACCAGTTTCTCTTCCTTGTTCATCTGTTTCCGAGCCTCCGACTGGGCTTTGAAATACTGGCTCATCTGGGTAAAATCACATTTGCTTAGGTTGGTGATGATATTCTTCTCTTCATTAGTCATTTCCTAATCAAAAGGAAAAGAAAATAAATAATACAGCAGTAAGTCCCTGGGTTTTAGTGTAGTTATAGTAAAGCACCATTTCTTCAGTCAGTGTCTGAAGAGGTAGCCAATCTACATTAGTGAGTTTGAAAGAAATGCATTAACTTTTATTACTTTGTTTTATTACAAAATACATATTTAATATAAAAATGTTTTAAATGATTTATTATTGTAAAAGATTAATTTGTGTCATTTCTAGGCTTCTTGGCACACTGCCACAAATCCCCAGGCATATATAACAATTACTAGTTTGAGGAACATGAATATATATCATTTAATACTAAGAGAAACATTTCCATACTTATTCTCTCTTAGAATCAGAAACATTACCCGTGCTCTATTCATGTATTACATATGATTTTCAGAGCTAGTTCAACAGGTAACTTCAGTTCTGCCTCTATCCACATCATCCAAACTGAAAATAAAGAGATCTTACAAATCACATAGGCACATATAGTACATGTGGTTTCAAGAGCAGAAAGTTCCTAAAGCGAATGAGCAAGAATCAAGAGGGAATGGGAAGGCGATAAACGTTTCTCTTTGCAACAAAGGGCACTCTTGCAGGGATCAACGCTTCTTTGCTCTACTGAGTTGGCCTAATCTAGTAGCCCCCTTCCTATAGCCATGAGAGCTGACAGAAGAAAGAAATGTTAAGTATTCTTGTTGGATAGAAATGCTATAAAATATAGCAAACAATCAGACAAAAAATATAACCATTAATACAACAAAATTCAAAAAAATCAAATTTTATACTAGGCTTTTTTGGGTAAAATCATAATGTATTACTTAGTATGTGATCAACATATTTTCAAGGCACTAGGATATTAATGCATAGGCCACAATACCTTTCTCCAGTCTTTAAAGAAATTTTTCCTAAATATTTCCTTAGTAGTATATTCATGGTCGAGCATTTTTGCAAAGAATGTAGCTACTTCTTCTGCTTTGGGGCTCAGCTTCATGACTTTACCTAGAGGAAAAAGTGGTTCCAAATAGTGAGATGCAGTATTCATGTTCTAAATATAAATACTGAACACTGGAGACTTCTTTAATAATGGTTTACCTTCCCATGGAACATTAAAGGTCTGGTGACACATAGTAAGAACAACAATAACAAAGACAACATACTGATTTATATCTACTTGTATAAATTCTCCTTCTCTTTAGCAGATATTTACCTGGGTCATTCTCTGGAGACTATGCCAGTTAATTGTTCCCAGGTGCCTGCTCAGGACAGGGATGACCTGGGGGAGGCCCAGTCACTCTTCCTTTTCCTTTCAGCAAGCAGGGTCCTTTACACCTCTTCAATGGTTTTTAAAAATCAAATCCTCAGGGGGACTCCTGCCACTGCTAAGCTAAGCAGCCTCTGTTCAAGAAGGGGAGGAAGGGATAGGGCAGGGAGTGGAAGAAAGGAATTGTGGGGAAAAGAAATAGGCATCTTTCTTCTTCAAAGTTAGGTGGGTGGAATAGAATAAAAATATATATCCATAGCAGGTAAGCCCAGATTCCCACACAAAAAGTCTAACTAAGACCTTCCTCTAGACCCTTGCTACTCAAAATGTGGTCCACATACCAGCAGCACTGGCATCACATGGGCGTTTGTTAGAAACGCAGAACCCCAGGCCCCACCCTAGACCTACTGAATCAGAAATTGCATTTTAACGAAAGTCACAAGCACATTAGAGTTTGCAATGCACTGCTCCAGGACAGATACTATGAGGCTGCCTCTTTCAGGGAAACCAGATACATCCATAGCACAAAGGGTGGGGTTGCATTATGCAAGTGTTTCTGTAAAAGCTGTTCTAACGGAACCCTGATGTTTCACAATGAAATGGTAAAGAAAATCTGAATATGGCCTAAGGGTTTTGTGTACCTGAATTAGTTAATAAACCAACAAAAGAAAAGTACTTGGGAATTTAATTTACTTTTCAAATAGAGTACTTTTAACAATACTCTTAGGGCTAATTTCCATTTTTTCTTGAAAAGCCAACTTTACAACACCATCTGGAACTAATCTATGCCATAATAACAGCATTTGGCTATACTTAAAATGAGGCTAAATGTAAGTCCACTGGCTTACTATTACGTAGGTATTAATTCACCAAGGAGTCCACATTCATTATAGAAAACTAAAGCTTAACCAGAAGTCCATTCATTTCAAAATTCAGAAGACATCTCATCTCATGATAGTTGGGAAGTCATCCCAGGTTGTAGGGACAAAATTGAAATGGTCACAGTAGACAGAACTTCCTTGGAAGTAATTAACTTGAAGGGCCAACAGGTGGCGCAGCTTCTCCCTCTTATACTCAACTCCCACATCCCCAACCAAGCTTCTGCTTTGAAAGGAAGACACTTTGGGGAGGACAAACTGGATTTAAAAATATCCTGCTCTTCTTCAGAACTCCCCACTCAGGTCTAAACTAGAGTTGCCAATGAAACTGTAACATGCTTCTAAAATAAAACACTAAGTCACCAGGAATAAAAAAAATAATGAGATAAAATAAATGGCAAAAAAAAAAAAAATGTAAACTGTTCTTGGGTATGTTTGTTATAGACAAAATACTAACAGTACTATGAATAAAACTGAGACTCTTTTGGCACTTTATGAATTCTGTCCCAATAGAGGAAGCAATTGTGACTCCTCCTCTTTCAGATGAGCTGTCAAAAGATACAGTGACAGCTCCCTGCAGCAGAGTAGTGGGAAGATGACTTGAAGGTTCCTGCCAACAGTAACACTCTGTGGAAAAGGTTGAGCTCCAGGAAAAGGAAAACTGCTGAGTCAAAGCTGAAAACTGAAAGTTCTTAGCAGAGGCAACAATTCACTGCTTCAGCCAGCCCAGGCCCACCTCCTGGCAGGTTCTAAAGGAGTCTGAATTCTCCCTAGAGAGTAGGCAGCAATTACAGTATAAGTCAAATGCCATTTCTTGACTTACTACAGAGTGGGAGTTTATACAATCAAGAAGAAACCCCAGAGGGAAGACCAACTGAGAAAATGCTAGAGCCTTGAAGCCTGAGCTCCTATAAAGGGGGGCCAAATGAGGAGAAGGGACGGTGATGACTGGTAGACTAGTCCAGGCCTGTTTCCCATCTTGAAAAGTAAGAGAAACTGTGAGTCTAGGAGATCTACCTTTCCTTCCAATCACACTGAATCTCAAAGTGAAGCTTTACCAGCAGAGCTTTCTAAAGCTAACAGTGAGCCCATGGCTGTAGAGTATTTGTACTTTTAAGATGTCCCTCTTCCAGTCCCAGGCCCTTTCTCATCACTGGGAGTTTTAACTTTGAGTCATACTTAAGAGGCTCCAGGAATGACCCAGTGTAGGGGCTGAAAGAACTCTTAGGCTCTCTGGTCAACACAGGTCAAAATGTTTATGCAATACAAGTATTTGCCATTGAGACTATGGGATACTGCTAACTCCCCCATATAAGGGACTAACCCAGGAATTAAGTTGGGTCTTGATGTCTGAACCAAAGCACAGTCAATAAATATGTAGTTTAAAAAAACAAATTTCATCTTATCAAGATTGACACTTTCCTCACTTGCAGACCAAACCCTTCGGTATAAACTACTACCTAGACCTAGCATTGGTGGCCCTGAGGCTATTGCTGGTGGGCAGAGATATATCAGAACTCCTGAGTGTTCAGCAGTGAAGCCTTTTAGTAGTTCTCTGCCCAGTGTTTCTAAAGTTTGGTTAGCAAACCACTTGGTTCAGAAATACCCAATCCTATTACTCCACTAATTCTTAAATGGGCTCAGATCCACCCTGGTGAATCATAAGCACCCAGGGCTTAAGGAACAATGCTCTAGCCATTTCTGGATAAAACTCCTGGAACAAGGGAAAATCAGCTGAGCATCACCATCTACACAGTGCTACAATGCCAACAGAAGGCATGTCAAAAGCTACCCTCAAATTTTTCAACCCAAGGAAAGAAATACCAACGACAGTGAACAGTTCTGAGGTTCTAAGAGGGCATTTCTTTAAAGCAGCTCATCAGACATGACTGCACAAGTATCAAAGGCACACACTGTTATGTTATGTAGAGCGAGTAATGGACACCTGCCAGCCCTATCTAGAGGCTGGTGGCAGACTAAATACTAGTAATATTTCTAGCGATGAGCAGCTTGTTAGTTTGTGTTATATTACTAAAATGAAATACTACCATTCTAATGAGTAACTCTTGCAAAAAGTAGCTCCCTAGAAATGAAGTTCACACATTATGGACCATGTGATGAGAGCCGTGTAGATGGACCTCCTTTGGACTGGGTAGATGACACACTAATAGGCCCTTTTTTATGGCACTTTATCAGCCAAAAAATGGGCCTTTGAGAGTTAAGTAAACACTTGATATCCCTTCCTCAAAAGCACACAATGACAATGAAACAAAATGAAATAAAAAGGATTATCCACCATAGGATCCTTCCTCATTTTCTATCCCTAAATAGAAGCAGACTCTTTTCTTGGCCAAGATTCAGAAAACCTTGAAATAACTCACCATCATAGTAAAACTTGACACTCTCTGGAAGAGGCTCATATGGTGGAGCAAATACGGGACCTTTATGCTCTAGGAATTTCCACTTGATGCCTTCAGGATAGCGCTCTTCTTCCCACCTTTAAAAGACAAGGCACAGCCTCATTTAGTGATCACCTTGCCTAATACAGAGATCATCGCCAATAAATGCCAAAATATCTATCTACTCAATTAATTAGTATTCTGGAATGACTTCTCGGCCCTACTTCAAGACCTGGATCAAAAGGACCAGTGTGCTCCACTTTAAACAAGCCAACACTCACAAGAAAGATGGAATACTCTAGCAAACAGAGGAAAATGTATTTCAACAGTTCAGTTCAAAGATACTGGATGTAAGAGATCAACACTAAAGGAGCTCAGCAACAAGTGAGAAATGTAAAAAAAAAAAAAAAAAAAAATGGAAACAGGTGTCTTGCCACAATGCTATAACAGCATCATACCACAAAGGTGTACATTAACAGTATTTGTGTTGTTGACATGTAGGAAAAGGCCTCCTGAGAATGGAGATGTCAGATGAAGGTACAGAGGAAAACAATCCTACGAGAAAGCACATAACAGAACAAGACAACCGGGAAATAACAGTTCAACTGGGGGATAATGATTTAAGGTACTTATGGGTTAACCGGGTTGTGCCAGCAGACACTGATAAGTGGATCTAAAACTCAGGGGAAACAACTTTTTAAAAAAGCATTCTATTTTTAAAATGGCCAAACAGACGAAACCAATGAGAAACACATCCTCACCACCTCTATATTCAACAATTGTTAATATTTTACTAAATTCTTGGTTTTGGCTGAACCATTTCAAAGTTAATTGCAATTTAGATACTTCACCACTAAATATTTCAGCAAGCATTTCTATAAAAATATTCCCTTATATAAGTGTAATAAATACTTTTATCACACCTAATAAAATTACTAATTCTCTAGTACCATTCTAATACTCCATCCATTATTAAGAATTTCCCAGTATATCTAAAATGTATTTAGTAGACCAGGATCTAATTAAGGATTACATACTCCAACTGGTTGATAGGTCTCAAGTCTCTCTCTGGAATAGACAGACATTCTTACCACCCTCACATTCACTTTCCAAGACCAATATTTTAAAGTTCAGAAACATCAAATAAAAATTATTATCAAACAAAATTGTAACAAAAGCATTGCTATAAAACCAAGGTCAACATAATATGGTTAAATGATTTTCAACAAGGGACACTTAAGACCATTCAACAGGCAAATAGGCAAACAGTCAAAGGTGTAAAGAACACAAATATCCATCAGTATTTTCAACAATGGTGACGGCTAAAAGATAAAATTGGGCCCTTATCTTATACTGTATATAAAAATTAATCCAAACAGACTAAAGACCTAACTGTAAGAGCAAATATACAAAACTCTTAAAAGAAAACATAGGGGAAAGCTTCATGACATTGGATTTAGCAATTGAGCAATGATTTCTTGAATATGATACCAAAAACACAGGCAACAAAAAGAAAAAAAAAAAACAACTGGAAGACACCAAAGTTAAAAAAACTTTTGTGCAAATGAAACATAAAGAAAACTGAAAGGCAACCCATGGAATAGAAGAAAATATCTGCAAATTATACACCTGGTAAGGGGTTATAACATATCCAGAATATAGCAAGAGCTTCTGAGACTCAACAACAGAACAAACAACCCACTTAAAAAATGGACAAAAAACCTGACTAGACACTTTATACAAATGGCCAATAAGCACCTAAAAAGATCATCATCACTAATCATTAGGAAAATACAAATCAAAACCACTATGATCAAAAACACTCACTCATATCAGGATGGCAGTAAAACAAAAGATACCCAGTGTGCTGGTGAGGATGTGGAGGAGCCAGCACCCTTGTGTGGTCCTAGTGGGAACGTACAATGGTACAGCCACTGTGGACACTGACACTAAGGCTGTTCCCCACCAAGTCAAATACAGAATCATCCTATGACGAAGCAACCCTATTCCCACGTATACACACGATATTCTGACAAATACTTATACATGAATGTTCACAGCAGCTCTATTCTCAACAGCCAAAGGTGGAAATAACCCATCCACCAACAGATGAAAGGATAAATCCAATATGCTCTATATAATGAAATATTATTTAGCCTTAAACAGGAAAGAAATTCTGATACAGGCCATATCACATATGAACCCTGAGAATATTTTGTTAAGTGAAATAAGTCAGTCATATAAATCCTACATGATTCTACTTCCATGATGTACTTATAGTTGTCAAATTCATAGACAGGGGAGCGGGGGGGTGGGGTGGGTGAAGTGTTGTTTAATGGGTCTAGAGCAGGCGTCCTCAAACTAAAGCCCGTGGGCCACATGCAGCCCGCTGGGTGTTTTTGCCACCGCTGCCTGTCCTGCTTAGCAGCCAACTTGTCCCAGGGCTCACAGTCCGGCCCTCCAACAGTCTGAGGGACAGTGAACTGGCCCCCTGTTTAAAAAGTTTGAGGACCCCTGGTATAGAGTTTAAGTGTTGTAAGATGCAATCAACTGATGATGATTACCTAATAACATACACTCAATTGAACTATTTACTTAAAAGTGGTTTAGATGGTAAATTTTGTGTCATATGTATTTTATCACAATTAAAATAAAAAAAAAAAAAAAGTTGGGCAGTGCCTATGGCTCGAGGATTAGGGCACCAGCCCCATATATTGGTGGTGGCGGGTTCAAACCTGGCCCTGGCCAAAAACTGCAAAAAAAAAAAAAACCCAAATAATAATAAATACATGCTGGAAAAAAAAAAAGATTTAATATAATCTTAGACTTAGAAGGAGCATTAAAGATCCTCTCTCAACAACCTACCCCTTTACAGGTAAGAAAGTGGGCAGGAGCTCCCAACTAGCTGTTAACATGAAAAGGCCTGGATGCAGGAACCCACCCAATCCTGAGGCCTATTTACTCTCCAAATCAGAGAAAACACACATGTGTATACATGTATGTATGACAGTGTTTGCAAGACATCTGTCTGTGGGAGTCATAGATTAATTGTAAGGGAACTGAGAACACCTTTATTTCCCCTTATCTGGGACTTCTCACCCTTCTTCTCATCAACTCCAATGTTTTTAAACTAAGATTCCAAACTGTTATTACAATTCTTATTTCAACATGTATATCTTGAGGGCTCAAAGCAACTTCTTCACTGTTTAAGCTAGAACATATCTTCCAATAAACTGATATTAACCAATTGAATTAATGTATGAATTAAAACAGCACTGGCATTTAGGCCCCCCATTAATGCTAACCTTCTCCCTCAAAATTTACTAATAAAATCAATACTTAGACATCAAAATTTCTCTTTGGAGGCCTGACTTATTTCTTACAACATTATAATCCTAACTCATTCCAACATTTTATTATGTGACTCAAAACTCCACTTAAAGTCACACCTGTAACAGTAATAACTCCCCAGTTTCTAAAGTCTTTGTGAAGAATAATCTATTTAGAATTAATATGTTCCAACAGGTCAGCCCTAACACAAAAGCATACTTAACCCAACACAGTGCTAAAACACAGTGAAGTTACAATGAGCAACTAAAAATTGAGATATCTGGATAAATAGGTTTTCATGAATAAGCCTGAGCCTACTGCCACCACTCGTAACACCTGCTCCTATGGGGAAAATGTGATATATGAAAGAAACCAGAGGGACCAGTTTCCTGTCCCCACAATTACCAAAGAAAGGGAGAAAAGGACCAGAGTCTAAGTTGTCTTTGCAGGTAGGGGCTCAGGATGAACATGTCTGCAGACTATGGGAGGGAGGCAAAAGATCTGTATGTTTGCTAAACTGGTAATATGTATGATTCTTTTTTAGTGGGATGGTTAAATAAAATTATCTGCCATTTAAGTTCCCTAACTAGGCCATCAGTGGCAGTCACTGAGGACTGGACCACTGATCCCAGAGTACAAAAGGCAACAGTTAACTCCTGGCCATCAGTTAAGAGGCTGCTCATTCCTTAATTCCTATTTTCCATTTCTAAAAACTTACAATGCACCATCAATCATTGTGCTTGAAAAAAATGTAAGTCTAACAATCAGGCTTGAAAGAAGCATGCACTATGAGCTGTAGCAAAGACTGCTCATCCCCAAACAAACCATCCTGAAGGCAGCCAGGTGCCCTTTATATCAGAGTAAACAAAGAACTCCAAAGTCATGGTCTCTCAAGAATGTGTGGTGACACTGGTAAGGTTTTCAACCACGAAAGCAAAATTAGGCTAATAGACCCGGCAAGGACATCTGATCCCCCCCCACACAACTAGGGTATAAATGTGCCTTGGCCTAACAAAAGCCAACACTCCAAAGAGGGGAGACAGCAGGGAGCTCCCAATGACAAGGAAATGGATTTGTTTATTTAGTAAACACTTTTTTTTTTTTTTTTTTTGAGATAGAGTGTCACTATGCCTAAGACTCCCAAGTAGCTGGGACTACAGGTCCCTGCCAGAATGCCAGGCTATTTTTTGTTGTAGTTGTCATTGTTGTTTAGCAGGCCCAGGTTGGTTTCAAACCCGCCAGCCTCTGTATGTGGCTGCCACCATCACCACTGCTGCTACGAATGCCAAGCCTTAATAAGCATTTTTTTTTTTTTGAGCACCCACCATGAACCCTGAGAGACCTAACAGGTTGAAAATTTTCTAACTCACCATTCTCTTGACTCTCAATAAACCCCTAACTTATACTTTATTTAAAATAAATAAATCATTTCATTGCAAATCATAAAACTCTTTCAATACTTTATGAACAAATTTTGGGAAAGATGACTGAAAACAGTTGATTAGGTCCAAAGAAAAAAATAAAAACAAGGAAAATAAACTATGTATTCTTTTGTTTTATGACTCTGACTTTGGGAAGGTCCAGGGTTGCAGGACCCTGTCATCTTCCTTTTGTATCTTTCCCTTTTAACCCCATGAAGTCGCACCAACATGTCAATCACAAAGCTGTCACTTGCAGGCGTATTTCTCCCACCTCCCTCGTCACTGCTCTTCCTCCTTTTTTCAGAGGTGCTGGAGATAGGAGATACCCATGTTTTTAATTATAAAAGTCATAAAATGAAAGCATGCAAATGGCCCTGGAAGGCACCACGCCAAATCAACAGTGGCTACCCCTAGGTTGGGAAGGTAAATGGGAATGGGAGGAAAAAGAGGGGTAAGGGGGATTTCCTCTTGATCATTTAATTTTTTTCATGAAAAAATTTTAGAAAATTTTAACTCAAGTATTTAAAAAAATCATGTTTATTTTCAGAGTTCTAAACATCAAAAGGAGAAAATAAAAGTTCTGCATTGAAACATGTTTCTCAAAAGTAGGAACTTCTGTTTTGGCTAAACTGTCCTTTATAGAGACCATCTGAATCCTCATGCCCACAAGGAAGGAGAGAGTGCCTGTCCTCTCACAGTCATGACCCAAGATATTTTCACTCCCTACTCTTTCTCCAATCTGAGACATTGAACATTATCATTTGTTATTTTTCTTTGCATCTTTGATTACTTGTGAGGTCCACCACGTTTTAGATGTTTATTAACAATTTATCATCTTTAATAAACTGCCTGTTCCTTACTTTTCAATTAGACTGCTCCTTTTTTTTTTTTAACGGATTTTTTCCCTATTAGGCCCTTTGTACTGGAAATATAGCATGCCTTAGGATTTTTTTTTTTAAAGACAGGGTTTTACTCTGTCACCCCAGGCTGGAGAATGGTGGTATGATCATAGCTCACTATAGCCTCAAACTCCAAGGCTTAAATGATCCTCCTCTTTCAGCCTCTTGAGTAGCTGGGACTAGGGATATGCATCAATCATGCCTCATTTTTAAATTTTCTGGAGCTAGGGTCTTGCTGTATTGCCCAGGCTGACCTCAAACTGTTGGGGTGATCCCCTCATCTTGACTTCCCAAAGTGCTTGCATGATCCACTGTACTCAGCCAGGGCTTTTTTTTTAATGGCATGAAGTTATCTGTTTGATATATAGAAAATTACAATTTTGATGTGTCTAATTTATAAATCCTTTATTTATGGGTCTAGTTATATCTTGCCTCGAAACATCTTCACTATTTTACGATGACAAAAATATCTACCAAGGTTTTCTTGTGGAGGTTTCTCCTGCTATTATTTTAACAAAGAGGCAGTCTTTCCAATATGAGTTATTAAATAATCCATCTTCTTCCTAGAATCTTAAATGCACTTTCTCCACATGCTAAATCCCCACCTCTCTATATAGGTCTGATTCTATAGTCCAATCTTTGGAGTCTAGTTTTCAAACTAGATTTAGAGCTAGTTAATGATTTTACTAGGACCTGGAAAACTTAACTTCAGAATGTTACTCTGGGAAGAATCTTTAAAGTACCTTCCCCAAATATTAGGCTATTCATTTTAATAACTCAATTCTCATGGTTAATTAGGTTCACAATACAAGAGGTGACATTTTGATCCAGTGCTGAGATGTTACCATTTCCATTTCTGCTCCTCTTCTTTCTTCGGCTTCTTTTTCTTGTTATCTGGCTCAGGAACTTTTTTATCTTTATCTTTATTCTTGGGTTTTTTCAATTTACCATCCTACAAAGAAACATCATAAGAAAATACTTAAATAAGGATGAGTCACACTTCATGGCCATAGTCAGTCTGGGGGGGTTGTTAGAGAGAAAAACTGTAATTATAGAGTATTAGAACTGGAGAGGATCTCAGGTCCAATCTTCTGATTTGATCAATGGATAAAAATTCAGTGATACAGCTTGGCACCTGTAGCTCAGCGGCTAGGATGCCAGCCACATACACTGGGGCTGGGGGTTCAAACCCAGCCCGGGCCTGCCAAACGACAACTGCAACCAAAAATAGCCGGGTGTTGTGGTGGGCGTCTATAGTCCCAACTACTTGGGAAGCTGAGGCAAGAGACTCGCTTAAGCCCTAGAGTTTGAGGTTGCTGTGAGCTGTTACACCATGGCACGCTATCCAGGGTGACATAGGGAGACTCTGTCTCAAACACACACACACACACACACACACACACACACACACGAGTAAAAAGAAAAACACTTATCCTATAGGGGAAGAGCCTGGCAAACTGTTTTATAGCGGCATTTCTTTTTCTTTGTCCTACCTATTCAACACATTTTATATAGCAATGAAAGGTAGTTTTTACCATCTCAAAATCGATTACAGAACGGCAAGACTGGTAAGCACTAGAAGGACAAAATGGTTTGACCTCTTCCAGTTACAATGGAGATAACTTTGAAACAGGGGTTCTGTCACTTGATTAAGGTCATACAGCTACTATTAACTACAAAGAGAACCTAAATGTACGAGTAAAAAAACCATGTGATTCAGAGGAATGACTGAAAAAACATTCTAGATCTCATGAAAGGATGGCAATTAAGATCAGGAAAAAAAAACACAAGGTCTATAAGCAAATGACTTTTAGGGTGGAGGGAAAGGGAAAATGTATAGTATCACCCATACTTTAGAATAGCCATGGAGAATATAAATGTGTATGTATGTTTGTGAAGATAAGGTACTTAAAGGATCACATCAATTCAGGTAATGTTTACTATTTAGGCTGAAATACACCACAGGAAAGGGAAATGTTTTTTAGTTAAGACATTCTCTGAACAGCTTCTGAGCAGAGATACAGATGGCCCCATAAAGATACTACTGGCTATATCGTATGTTTTGAAGCCTCAAATTGGGATAATGTGTCTCTGATAGGGTTCAGAACTATTCCCAGAAATGGCGGGGGGAAAAATCGTTGGTGAGTGAGGTTTAATGATGGATTCTGCCATCTGGGGTCCCTGCCACAACGACACTGTTTCACGGAGTCTTTCAGCCAGCCTTTTTTCCCCCCCTGTAAGGGAAGGGCTGCTAAGTAGAATGGTAAAACTATGAAGTCAACCATTCATTTTTTCCCCAGAGGTTTAACAAACTCAGAAAAAAGGTATTATTTTGCATAAGTGCAACGTAAACATAAAAATAAGAGAACACAGAGAGAGCTCCTGTTTGGCAATTCTCTATTGACCAGCCTGTACTGACGACATGCAAGTGGAGCGGCTGGCCAGCATCATCACCGCTCAACATTTCACTCTCAAGTTTTTGAATTAGCCTTCGTTAACAAACTTTTGCCAAGAATAGACCAGTAGTTGGAAAGGCTATCTTTTTCTAAATTCAGGACATTGATCATCTCTCTATGGTTAACTTAAGTCATTAATATATGATTTCATTAAAGACCTTTCTTCTCCCTCCTTGTGAAGTTCTCAGTATCAGCAAGTCCCAGAAGGCAGAATGCTGTGGTAGCTGGTATAGTGATTCTGGAATCAGACTGCATGGGACAAATTCTGGCCTTAACACTTAGTTATTATGTGGTCTCAGGCAAATGACTTGACCTCTCTATAGTTTCTGCTTCAGCAAAATAGAGATAATAGTAGTGGTATTAGTCTCTTAGGGTTGTTGTAAGGATTAAATGAAATGGCACATATATAAAGTGTGTAGAACAGTGCTCAGCACACAGGGAACAGCTATACATTTAATTGTGACCATTATTACTCTTACTACTACTATGATAAATTATGCTCTTGTGACACTCTGCTCCTTACTATCATTGTCTTCTTACTGCTAGTACTTCAATTATCAATTTATAACTTGAGGACCCATTTTTACTCACAAGAAGGGCTAACCTCAAAAGCAACGTTAAGAGGTTAAGAATTCACCTAACCCCTTTCTCTTATGAAGAGTACAAGATTAAGACCCTGTGAATTTCTGACATCCTTCCTTGAATTACTTGCTAACAACCTTTTAGTGTAGGGACTCGGGGAAGTATCAAAAGAAGGAACTACGTTATTCTATTTTATTTTATTATTTCTTTTAACAGACCAGGTGTTGCTCTGTTGCCCAGGCTAGAGTACAGTGGCATAAGCATAGCTTATTGTAACCTCGAATTCCTCAAGTGATGCTCCCACTGTAGTCACTGTGTAACTAGTACTACAAGCATACACCACCCACCCCCCCAGCTAAATTTATTTTTTTTTTGAAAATACAGGGTCTCAGTATGTTGCTGAGGCTGGTCTCAAATCCTGGCCTCAAGTGATCCTCCCGTCTTGGCCTCCAAAGTGTTGGGATTACAGGTGTAGACCACCATGACTGGTTCTTATCATTCTATTTTAAATCTATTGTAAGCATCAAAAAGAACCCTTAGTACTTAAACAGAACTGAGATTTTTAAGCAAGGTTATAGGTCATAAAGAGAAAGAGCATGTGTGTTCCAGACAGAGGAACATAAAGCCCGGAAGCATGAAAGAATGTGTGTAGAAAGGAAACAAGCGAGGCCAGTATGACTGGCACAAGGTGAGCGAGACAGAAGGCACAAGAGGCAGGAGCCAGGTCGGGAGGAGTTGTGGTGAAGGGTTTAAGTTTCACCCTATGTCCAGGGGGCACCCATTAAAGGACTCTGAGTAGCGACAGTTGCCCAAAGAGAGTGATTAGCATATTTATGCTGATTAGCATATTTACATATTAAGAGAGCCCTAAAAAAATTCTTAGGAAAAATTTTTCAGGATGATAGGTCAAATGTGGTTTCTTATTAACACTGCCTCTGTGTATACAGGGGTAACATAGTTTCTCCAAGAGTGTCGGTTGGCAACATTGCTATGGGCAGACAGACACCCAGAACCTCTTCTAAGAGTGGAACCACTGGTGGTCGTGGTTAACTTAAGACACACTGGGGACTCAGAGGGGTCTTAATCCTAACGGTGCCCTAGCCACCACTTGTGTGTGATTTTTTCCTCACAATGTTAATATCATAAAGAACCAAGAAATTCCTGAAACTCACGTGTTCAAAAGTTGTTTCATAAAAGACTCCTTTCCCCCAAAGGGCTGAAGTCTCTTTACTAACCTCTTCCTCCTCTAGTTTTCTTTTCTTCTCCTTCTTGATATCTTCTGTTTTAATTTTCTTAGGTTTATAGTCAGCACTAGAAAGGGGAACATGAAAATGCAGTTAACGCAGTGAGGACGCAGGAGCTCCTGCCTGCAGGATTAGGACCTCCAAACTCCCGCACACCTCCACGGCAGCAGTGGCCAATATGATTCTAGGCTGCCATTTATGGTCAAGAGTAACAGAAGCAGACAAAGTAAAAGGCCAGAACAAGCACCAAGAGTCATAAACAAAACAAAGCACACAGGCCTGGAAGTAAGGAGGGGTGGGGGGACACACACAGAAATAAACACCATTATAACATGGAAGTCTGGGAACCAAATGCAGAGCACAGTGGCCACCACACAGTAATAACTTGCTGGAAAGAAGAAGAAATTGCATGACTACAAATACGAGTTCATTAAGTAATTTCCCTTCTCCCTTTCCATTCACCATCTACTACGAATCCTTTGAGGATCCCAGAGCTTAATAAGCTACATAAGACTGGAAATAATGAATAGAATTTAATCTCACTGATTGAATCTGGAAGAGGTACATGTAAGCCTCAGATAACTGTTTTAAGAGCAGTTTTATTACTTCATGCATTGCAAGTTCACTCAGAATGTATTGACGAGATCCCAACAGAAACTTATCTGTGATAGGCAATGATAAAGCACCTTAATTAATTTAAAGATTTTCCATGAATTCTGTATTACTTAAAATTGCTATAAAAATATGCTTTGCTTTTTTAATAAGAAAAATTTATATATTCTTCATGTAAGTCTCAGGTACATTACTTATTTGCTTAGCAAACCCCAGTTCTTATAATTCAAAGAGAAATCAGTCACCCAATCTATTAATCACAATTCCAAATGAGTAAAAAGCCATTTAATACAGTTTTTCTGTGTCTTATAATTCCAACTGAGTTAAAGCCAATTAATAGTTTCTCTATGTACTATAGAGAAACACATCACATTTATTTTCTAAATAATTCTTTTTTGTTTTCAAAAGTCAAAATATTAAGAAATACTCACTCATCTTCATCTCGAGGTCTCTTTAATGGCTTTATATCCTCTTTAGGAGGAACAAAATAGCCATCATCTTCTGGCTCATCTTTAACTTGTGGTGGACTAAAGAGAAAAAAAAATGACTAGTTACTGAGTGCCAGACCATCTACATTACATTAGTATAAAGCAGGCTATAACTCCCTGAAAAGAAGCTGCCATGAGGACGACAACACACATACAAAGATTCTCATGTAATTATCACTACAACCTTGTGAAGTAGAGTACTGTCCTCATCTTACAGATGAACAGGCACCATCAGGAGTCGGGATCAGGACTCCTTCTGTCAGTGTTCTTTCCCACTATTTCTTAGCTATCTTTGCCAGCATGATTTGAATCACCACAGGGAATGACCTCCATAAACAAAGCTGCCATCTGTGAAGGGGTCCAAGGGATAAGCATCCAGACTCAGCTACAAAGTATATCCCACGGGATTTCAAGAGTAGACAGGGCACACTACTACCAAAACAAATAAACTGGGTCCTCTTATGACAGAATTTTAATGTTTAAAGAATTTAGCTCTCCTTATTTAGCACCATTCCCGGATACCAATCTCTACAGCTGTTCCCTCTTCCTCTCAAAACACCATCACAGCCCCAAGGGTCCAGAAGGAAATAAACAATGTTATTTATCCAACTAGTTAAGTAAATGCCAGATCCTAGGATTGTTACAGGTGAAGTTAAAAACATGCAGAAAGGATTTTTAAGCCTGACAGAAGTCCTAAAATAATTTACAAAAAAAATTGTGTTCCAGTAAAGCATCTGGATTCTTTGCAAAGACACAGACATAAGCTAGC